AATTAGTAGTTGTATATCTATATTCTATAATAGTAGCAACCTAGGGCTCAGGATACTCACTAGTTGTAAGATTATAACTAGTGCGTACCCCGGGCGATGCCTCTGGTTGCTAGTTTGTGTATTTCTTGTTTTAATTTAACAATTATGTTCGACTATTTGTATAGTTAGGGTCTGTTCTGATTGACTGAACTCGGTTGAACTGAACTGAACTTATTAATTAGTGATTTTTAACTACGGATTAGTGATCTTTGATTATTTATTGATTATTTATTACTATACATATGTGTATATACAAATGTACATATTAAAATATTTACGAAAAATATACTATATAATTATAAAATTTATGGAAAATATATTAAAAACTTGAAACCTCTAAACATCACTACAAGAAAAATGTCTTTTCATAGCGATTATATCGTAGCGATTGTACATTTGCTACAATATGCAAGTATGTTTGTGAAATATTTAAGGAAGTCGTATCATTTTACAATCGCCATGGTTTAGCCATATAAAATCGATACGAAAAACATAATAATACATATCCACACTATTTTTACACATTTATATAATTTTGAGAAATCGTATCATTTACAATCGCCACTAAATCCTAAAAATCGATACGAAAAGCCTTTTCAACACTAGATATATTAATATTGTTTGACAAAGAATACATAAAATATGTCATAGCTTATTGGTGAAACATTTAATATAAGAGTTTGAGGTTGCATGTTCGAATCTTGTAAAAATCATACGCATGTTTTTTTTTTTTGAAGAAAATGAGTTAAACATTTATAGCGATTGTAATCGCTGCAATAATCACCACGATTGGATGTAGTTTTTCGTATCGATTATTGAGGCCAACCCCAACGATATTGAAAACCACTACTAAAGTCTAAGGCAACGGGGGATATTGTATCGAATGACCACTCGTTGGGAAAGCTTTTTGTTGCAATTACAATCGATACTAAAGGTTAAAATAATCGCCACGAAAAAGTTATTTTCTTGTAGTGCATTTTAAACACATATACTATTTAATTTAAAAATAAAATAGTATTATGACAAAAGAACACAAAACACTTACATGTATCTAACCCATTTAAACAAATTTAAAAAAAATATTTAAAAAAAAAGAAAAGAAAAAAACACAAAAAGCTAACAGAGGCAACGACCCAACAGTCCAACACCCTAACCCACTCTCTTTAATGTTTTAATTAATACATGTATCTAACTAGTATCTAACCCTAAATTATTATTATTATTATTATTATTATTATTATTATTATTACTATTATTATTATTATTATTATTATTATTATTATTATTATTATTATTACTATTATTACTAGATGTAAGCCCGTGCGATGCACGGTTTTTAAATATTTCATTTTGTATATTTTTTTTGTAATTTCTTAATATTTTTTGTTTTTATTTTCTATTCTATTATTTAAACATTAATTTAAGGTAAATTATTTTGTTAAGTTTTAAATTATTCTTTTTCAAATTTTACATATATAGAACTTGAATTTATAAATTGAAATAAATATTATCTCATTCATCGGATAGTTAGATAAAATCATTTAATCAAAATATATTTTTTTTATTTGTTAAAATAATATAAATCCTAATGTAAAAGATAATATAAAAGATAATTTTTGTTTTTTTTTCATAATTTAAATCTTAAATTACTATTTTTTGTTTCAATTCTCAAATTCATTTGTTAATTTTTTCTTAAATGGCGACTGAAAAATTAAAATTCTAAATTAATATATAAATCTAATTTTTCATTGGTCAAAATATTATTTTTTCTTATGTGGCGTGCGATGCAAGAATTTTTATATACCATTTTGTATATTAATATTTTTCTTGCATTATAAGTTTTAAAATTTTGTATGAAAGTCATATCATCAGATATTTACATAAAACCATTAACATCAAATGATAATTTATATTTTTTAAATATCAAAATATAATTTTTAGTTTTTTAATTAATATAAATCCTAATATCTAAAGATAATTTTTAGTTTTGTAACAAATAAAAATGATAAAATTTAGTGTTCTTAAATAATAAAAATCTTAATAAATTACTATTCGTCGTTTTTATCTATGTGGCAAAAAATTAAAATTTCATTCGTCACTTTTGTTTAGGTGGCGAGTGATTTTTTTAATTCTAAAATAAAATAGAAATCTAATTTTTAATTGGTCGAAAATATACCTTTTCTTATGTGGCGCTCCCAATGCTCTCCAAAAATGCCTACTTTATTTATATATATTAGATTATTATTATTATTATTATTATTATTATTGTTATTATTATTTATTGATGATTACTATTATTATTATTATTATTATTATTTATTACTTATTTATTATTATTATTATTGTTGTTGTTGTTGTTGTTGTTGTTGTCGTCGTCGTCGTCGTTGTAATAAGAGCTTAAAAGAATGAAATTTGGATTTATATCATTAGCAATATCATTAGACATAAATTAAGAGCTAAACTGAACTGAACTGAACTGAATTTCAACGGAAGAGAACAGGCCCTTAGTGTGTGTAATGGTTTGGGCGTTGCCTCGAATGTTTTTTTTTTCAATATATGTATTTATTCCCTCCATTTTTAAATACTTGCTCCATATCTCCATGCGCGGAGTTTTAGGAGAAATAGGAGAAAGAAATAAAATATGGAGGTAGTGGGGTGGGTGGAAGAATAAAAAATTGTATAAATCTAAAGTAGTGGGAAGAGGAGGAGAAAGAATATGAAATTAATAAAATATAACTTATGTTGATTCCACTAGGTGAGAGAAATTAATTAAATATTGTAAAATCTTTTCAACTATGGAAATGTAACAAGTATTTAAAAAACAGCCGAAAAAGGGAAGTGGAGCGTATTTAAAAACGGAGAAAGTATATTTTAATCTTTGAAAAATAAAGGAATTATATTACCTCTAATTTACTTAATAAATGAATGGAACATATAAAATTATGTGAAACTTAAAATATTAATAATACTTGGTTGAGATAGTATGCATTAGAGGCTTTAAGTTCAAATCTTGTTGAAATTATATTTTATTTTTTAATTGAAGTGGCTAGCTTACTAGAAGGAGGGTGTTCCCATCGTAGGGGATCCTTCTCCTTAGATGCCCATGGTCCTTTAAAAGCCTAGGACTTTACACTTTTTAGGGTATATTAGGATTTGAATTGGATTTGAATTCCTGACTGTTTGGGAGACCTTGAATTAGAAATGATACTCTTATCACGCTTTTTTGTAAGAAACAAGTAGGAGTCGCCAATGAGTTTTAGGAAAACTCATAAACCTCGTTCATGCCTTTCTCCCAAGTAGAGTTCAAGGGATAATTAGCACGAATCGTAAGTTTACCCATGCCCAAATTGATCTACATAAACCAGAAATGAGTTCGGGAGCGAGCTGAGGGTACTAAAATAACGTTCCCTTTAAAGGAGAATCGCTATTCTAGCCCTATTGCGGCCTCTACTAGCTCTTCCTTTTTTACAATTTCATCACCAAACAATATATACATCGTGATACCTAAAACTAAGTTAGTTGATTTTATTTACAAGCATTAATCACGTAGGAATTACATTGCAAAAGTCGTTATTCTTTGTTTAATCAATATTTGTGAAAAGAACAAAATAAACAATATTCGCCTTGTCTTAAGTGATAAAACAACGATTAATTATCAAATTCTAGTCTTGATTAAACGAAATAATACTATGTGAATTAATTAATTAAAAGTTTGTTTAAAGTGATCAAATAACACTAATTAATCCATTAAAGTTATTTAAACAATAAAAGAAAAGTGATTTATCTAAGTGCTTGGGAAACTAACCGTTCTTCTTTATGTTAAATCTCCGTTTAATGCGTGCATGGAATTTCTTTCTTCTTCGTACCTCCAAGGACTTTCTTTGAATTCAATTAGGGTTGGAAAGTATTTGGGAAGAGAGAAGAAAAGTAGTATGATAGTAAGAGAATTTGAGAGATTAGGGTTTTGAGAATGCTAGAGTTTTTAATTCTGATTTTTCTGTCCTCATAATGCTGAACGAAGACCCCTATTTATAGGCGTAGGGATCTAGGTTTAGGGTTTTAGAGCCGCGCCTTCAGGTGGCGCGCGCAACTCTCTGATTCGCGCTGGGTGCCGTGCGCGCCAGGCGCGCGCAACTTACTGAGTTGTGCTGGGATGCGGTTTGCCTTATACGAAAACGTGTTTTTAAAACTTCCATAACTTTTGATTGCAGAGTCGGATTAAGGCGTGTGAGATATCATTGGAAAGCTCTGAATGTTTACTTTCCAATTCCGTTGAAATTAGGTTAAAATATGTTATGGAACAAAAGTTATGGCTGTTGGAGTGCAAGGGTATCGGTTTTAGGGCCCGGTTTAGTGTTTTGATCATAACTTCTTCATTTTGGCTCGGAATTGGGCTTATAATATACCATTGGAAAGCTCTTTGAAAGGCTATCCATCTGTATAGGCCATGAATGGAAATATGATGGTTGTTTTATCTGTTTGGCTCGGTTTTCAACAATGTAAGATCCATTGGATCGATTCATTGCATTTGCCGCATTTTGGTCCGTTATTAATCAAGTTTAAACATGTATGAGCACGTTTTAGGCCTAATTAGTAATCGGACAAGGCTCTAAGAATACTTGGTCTCAAATATGAGAAAACTTACTTCATAATGCATTTCGTAATCTATAAATACTTCAACTTTGATCTAACATGAAGAACGGATTTTTATAATATCATCGCACTTTCTTTCGAGACAAGAGGCCAAAAGTAGGGGTCTACACTTACGTGACGCATATACTTTGGATCATGATGTGGCGTTGTGACATAGCACACATACTTTGAACTTTTGAAACATTTTTTTTTTTATTTTTTGTATTTTGAGGAAAATTTTTTTGAAGCCTTTTAATATAAAGTATAGATATGTGTATAAAAATAAAAATAAAATAAAAAATTCACTTTGGGTGAGTGATGCATAAAGCAAAGGATTTTACTAATACGGAGTAAATCGTAAAGGAGAGTGTGAAAGACTGAAAGGAGTTGGAAAGTGTGTAGTGCTCTACTACTACACCATTTCAGAATACCCAGAATCTTCAAATTCTCTCTCTTCTTCTATGTGATTCCTCAACAATGCGAACATTCTTCCTTTTTATTAATTTAATACCCTTTTTTCTTCTTCCCTTTTTCTCTCAATTTCCTGTTGCTACTGCTGTTGTTTCTACTCCTGCTGGTGATCTCTCTTTCTCTTTGAAACCCCAATTCAAATTAGATTTCTGTTATAATTTAGCTACCCATTTTAATTACATTATTACTTCGGATTTCATGTTTCTAATATTGTTTGTAATTTTTGGTGCAGGTCCATTGATTAAACACCTCTCTTCATTACTCAAATGGACTAAGAATTCCCCTAAATCATCCCAATCAGGTATATAAAATTAATAGTTTTTTTTTTTTTTTTTTTTAATTTAATTTACTAAATTTAGTTATGTTAAATCATATGTTAGAGATTTAAAATGTTTGATGGTTGTTTATTATTTAGTGGATTTTTAGTTTTGTTGAATTTAAGTATGGAAATGTTTAATGGGTTTTTTTTAATTTAAATAATTTACTGACTCTATTGACATGTATTTATGTGTTAAAGCTTAATTTATTTGATGGGTGTGTATTATATAATGCATTTTTCGTGATGTTGAATTTTGTTTCGGAAAATCAAATGTTTGATGTATAATTTACAGATGGACCAGTAGTTCAGTTTGAGAGTGGGTATTTAGTGGAGACAATTGTAGAAGGGAATGCAATTGGAGTTGTACCCTATTCCATTAGGGTATCTCATGATGGAGAGCTCTTTGCTGTTGATTCAGAGGGTAGCAACATTGTGCGGATAACTCCTCCACTGTCACAGTGTATGATATTTTCATCACTCTCTTTGAATGCTTGTTTTCTGGGTTTTGTTTGGATTGTTTGTTTTTGTTCAATTTTGAACCATATTGTGCATGATTGGGAAAAAGGCTGTAACCTGTATGTAATGTATGTAATGTTTTAAATATTGGCCCACGCTTGCGTTTGAAATATAAGACTATTTGTTTGTTTTGTTGATTTTTGTTCAAGCTTGATTCATATTGTGCATGATTTGAAAAGGGTTGTAAGGCTTGTAGCCAATTATACATGGATTCCATATGTCATGTATTGATGTGTAGCTTTTGGTCGAAAATCAGGCTTATACCAAATTGTATTATTTAGGTCATGTTTGTGTAATTTGTGGTGCTAGCCAAGACAATTATACAGAAGATAACTAGTATATTTGGATGCTTACTTGTCTATACTTTGTGCAATAGATTGGTGAAGGGTTCATCTGAAAGTAATGTTAAGTGTTGGAAACTTGTAAAGAACAGGAATTTGAGTGTGCATCTTAATTAAATTCTTTTGTGCCATTGATTTTTCATGCTTCAGATAGTCGAGCAAGGCTAGTGGCTGGATCATTTCAGGGTAAAACAGGGCATGTGGATGGTAAACCAAATGATGCTCGTTTTAATCATCCTAAAGGGGTGGCCATGGATGATAAAGGAAATGTTTACATTGCTGACACTGATAATCTTGCTATCAGAAAGGTTGGAGAAGGGGGTATGTTCATTGAAAATGATATCAATATTAATCCAATTGGTTTATTTCACTCCTAATTGATTCAACCTATATTTGACAACTGTATGCAGGAGTGACAACAATTGCTGGAGGGAAGTCAAATGTTGCAGGATACACAGATGGGCCAAGTGAAGATGCAAAGTTCTCCGCAGATTTTGACGTGGTCTATGTGCCATCCACTTGCTCGTTGTTAGTTGTTGACAGAGGAAATGCTGCACTTCGGAAAATTTCTCTTAATCAAGAAGACTGTGATTCTAATTACAGTTCCATTTCAGTGACAGGTGGGCTTCATGTCATCTATTGTGTATTGATTTCCTCAATCACTTGTGTATTGATCTCCTTAATCACTTGTGTTTGAAGTTTCCTTGCTCACTAGAGCTCCTTAATTTCTGAGATCTTGAGAAATTAAATTGTTGACCTTTATGATAACTGAATTCTCAGGCACTATATAAGAACCACTCTGTATCAAAATATTAATGGTGTTAGTAGCTACTCCCTCCTAGTAAAATTAATTTCTCAAATCCCTGTTCCACAAAAAAGCTTCTCATTTCTCCTTGGGTTGGGTCCACGTGGTATTATAATGTTTTAATTTTCCTCTTTTTTCATTTTTATTTTTATTCTTCTCCCTTGTATTATTTTGGTCCTCCCTTTCCCTCATCTCTATTGAAAAGATAACAAAACCCAATACCTTATATATTGATCATACTACAAATGCTCTCCTAAAACTCTTTGCCAATAGAAATGGAAAGATTTTGTGGGACAAAGGGAGTAATTTTTATACACAATATGAAATTTGTTAGCTTTAGTTTAAGTTGTATCATGGACTAGTATTGAAAGATGGCATGCAACATTATTATTGATATTATTAAATCACCTTTGATGTTACATGGATTATGTATAGTGACATTAATGTTGAATTAAAATTATGCCATAACTTATATTTGGAAGTAATTTGAACTAGCTAATATGACACATTGATAAATTGGAGGGAGTAAGTAATTAAGATAATATTTAGCTGACGATTTTGATGAAAAAGCTGAATATCATGTATTATGAATTATTAGTTCTTTGACTCTAATAATAAAATTTATGGGAGCAGTATTTCGATCATATTTCATAAGTGGAGGCTTGCTAAGTTTAGAGTGTGTACAAATTGTATTCATGTCTTAATGTACAGATGGTTCATAAGTCCATATAATAAAGTCTGTATGCTGGTCAAAGAAATAGTTTTGTTAAGTAAGGTCTCACAATGTGTGGAAATGAAGAACCTAAATAGCCACAGTTGCAGTGAAAATTATTGTATGGCGGAGCGCTGCAGGGTCCTAAGGTAGTAAGGTCCATACATGCCAACAACATGTGGCTTTTAAAATTAGAGTCATGTGCACTCTAGTTTCTATAGATTGTTTCCATGGTGTTTGATTTATTAATTGTTTTAGGATGAGCAATGGCTTCTTAGTACTCAGTTCATTCTTCTATGCTCTACTCAGTTACTGCAGATACGTAATTATATAATTTTTTTAAAAAGGTGTGGGTGTGTTTGAGAGAGAGAGGTTAATAGAGTAAAAGAGTGTGTGTGGAAAGGTGTGGTATAAGAGGATAATAGGAGCGAAGTGAGTAGAGCAAAAAAGAACGGACAAAAAAGAAAGTGAATTGAACGGGTGTGTGTGTGTGTGTGTGTTGGGGAGGGGGGGGGGGGGGGTTGCGCGTGCGTGGAGAATTTTCCACATGAATGTCTTGTGTTGCGTTCTTATGTTTACTTGTTCTTATTGTCCTGCTTAGATTGTCAAAGGATTTATTTCTAATGGAAATTTTTCTAGTATGACAACAGTACTTCTAACTAGAGTTGCTTGTTGATGCTTGCACATGTAGCTGTGCACATTCTGTTTAAAATCAATTTTATTATGTTTTCATGAATTTGACTGAAGTTCTGATGTCTTTTGTTGTGCTAAAATAGCTGCTTATCTTTGAGCATCAAATATGATGGATTGTTTTTTTATGTTTGTGTTTTGGAACAAATTTTAATTAATTAACTGGTTCTTGTGTACTGTCAGATATCGTCATGGTCTTTGGTGCTATGTTTGTTGGGTATGCCTCATGCTTGCTTCATCAGGGATTTGGACCTGCTTTTATCTCGAAATTTGTGAGTACTATTATCCAGCAATTTTTGTGTTTAAAAGGAGTTCATTGATTCACTTTATGTCTTGAACCCCCGTTCAAATTTCTTTGCTTTAGTATCTTGGACTTGGATGCAAATTATACTCGTTTTATTTTTATTTTTTATTTATAAATGTGCTTAATGTATGAATGCCCCCAACAAAAGTTCAAACCACTCCTAGCAAATTGTTATGGTTAGACATCACCTTCTCAGAAATCAAGGTGAAAATTTTGTAGCTCATCAAGTTGTCAAAATCATATACCATGGCAAACATCTGTCATGATTTTCCCTGTTTAACTTGTAGCTTATATGATTAGCTTATATGATGTAAACACAGCTCGTTGGTTTACTACAACCTCATTGAAATTATTGCTTTTTCTAGTGGCTTGTATGTACAAAAGCTCCCAAAAAAAAGTTTAAACCACTTCCTAGCAACATGCAACTTTTAGATATCATTCCCTTTTTTCTATAGAATTTTTAGAGAATATGATTTTAGAACTCGTGTCCTCAAAAACACCTATGCAAACATTCTCCAATCCCTACCATTGTTCAAGTGGCTCGTGTTATGAATCTTATCCATCATAATGTTTCTGATATATTTTAATAATAGCTTCTCATGATACACTTCAATGTGGTTGGTGTTTTTTATTTGATCTGTATGAGCCTCAAAGTTAAAATTGTCTCAAGGAACTTTGTTGGTAAACATTACAAAGCTCGGATATTTAGTAATTCTCACTTGGCTTTCTATATCTTGCTGCAGCTACAATCTTCTGCATCAGATGATCCACAAAAACTGCTCAAAGAGAAGCAAAATTCAATCCTGGAGAGTGTAAAGGAGGAACAAGTTCCTGCTGGATCTGGATGGCCTCCATTTGGACAGATGATAGGTGATCTTGGGAAACTAGCCCATGAGTCGCTGAGTAATGTCATTGTTCCCTTAATTCCCCCTCGTTTTAGCCCGAAAAAAGGACTCACTCCCTTGAAAGACGCTCTAAAGATGCCTGAAGATGGAGTACAGCCGCAATTGATAGCCCAAAAGCAGAGGACCCCTGTCCCAGTTTCTGAATCCTGGCAAGCATATGCTCCAGATACTACAGAAAAGCATTCTGAAGCAAAGACTTTGAAGATGAGATCAGCGTCTATGAAGGACCCTTCTTTGTCAAGCAAACACAGATCTTCCAAAAGACAAGAGTACTCAGAATTTTATGGTTCTAGTGAAGCCCCTCATAAAACTGGGCAGATAAGGTCTAAAGCACACAAGGAGAGGTCAAAGCATCGCCACCGAGATAAGAGTGGAGAAGTAAGTTCAGGGGCTCATGCACCTGAGCCTAAACCTGGTGAATATAAAGGGGTAAATTACAATGATCCAAGGTTTAACCCTTACAATGTGGGGAATAGGTATATGCCAGATGCTTCCTACCGCTATTAGACTGACTTTTTAACGGTTAGTGATGTCGGCATGTTATGGTATCAAATTTTGTATTTGCCATGATGTTGTATGGCTATCTTTACTTGGTCCTATTCTAAGAATGCGAGTGAAATTACATTTGAGATATCTGAGCTGCTCAAGATTACAAAAATCATTTTATGGGTTCTGTAATAGATGTAAGAACTTCTCTGGGGCAGGTCTGTAGGCTGTATTCGTGTTGTATTTATCACTTCTGAGGAAAAATTACATAGCATATACTTCACTTCGGTTTCCCCATGCATTTCCTTTATTTCGGGTTAACTATCTTATGTATTGTTTAGTGTCTTGTCTTGAATCTCTATTCTCTAATACCCATTTCCTTGCCATACATTCTATACTACAGAACTTGTGCAACAGTACAGAAGTAACATACAATATTCATTCTTCTAACAATTTATGTTTCTTCAATGTGTATTGAGTGTTTCCTCATGACATGTCTCAAGTAACGTTACCCTAATTCTTAGGCTTTTATATGCATCATCATTAAAGACATCCACCACACCTCCAACCATACAAGCGCACGAAATTGTGTGTTTTGAAAGTTCATCTGATCAATGAAATGTCTGTAGCTGTAAGCAGTACAGGAACATGAGGGGGGGTTTTAGAGCACTTGATCTTGTAAGACCATTTCTTCCATTTTTACCTCGAGTTGAAGAGCCGGATAAGGATAAGACTGTACCTTTCAAAGAGAAGGTCATATACACTGTGTTATCCCTCTTCATTCTCCTTGTTTGCAGCCAACTTCCTCTGGATGGCATCCATTCGAAATCTGGTTCAGATCCTTTATACTGGATGCGACTCATTCTAGCCTCGAGTCGTGGGACTGTCATGGAGCTTGGCATTTCCCCCATAGTTACCTCAGGCATGGTGGTGCAAGTTTTGCTTGCTTCAGACATCTTTCAAGTAGATTACAGAGTTATGGAAGATCAGGAGCTCTTGTAAGTACCTTACCGAGTTATCTCTACTTCACAAATACACCATGTTTAACTTTTGCTAGGTTTAGCCTCATGACCTTACTATATACGATTATTGTTGTAGGAATGGTGCACAAAAGTTGCTGGGAATTCTTATAACAGCGGGTGAGGCTACTGCTTACGTTCTTTTTGGAATGTATGGAAGTGTTGCTCAACTTGGAGCTGCAAATTCAGTTCTTATAATTCTCCAACTTACTTTTGCTGGAATCATTATGTTGTGCCTCGACGAAATGCTTCAAAATGGATACGCATTATGTTGTGCCTCGACGAAATGCTTCAAAATGGATACGGTTTAGGCTCCGGAATCACCCTTTTCATGGCCTCAAATATTTGGTAAGGTAGTCTTATACACAGAATTTGCTAAATCACTCAAGTACAAGAGACTAAATTTAACTAGAGAATAGAACAATGAACTTTTATATAGCGTGTTGTGTAAATGCATGCCTAAGTGAATCTATTTTTTGTGTAAAGTGGATTACAACAATGTATTGTGAAACCGAGGTGACTTTCCTATTTTTAAAAAGTGACTTCTTACTTTTATGCAACACAATAGATAACGGAGTTTTTTAATATGTTACAAAATATTGTAAGTCCATCTCACCTAAGACTTGTATAGTTTACGCAGTGAAAATGTGATATGGATGACATTCAGTCCAGCAACAATCAACTTAGGGAGAGGGCCAGAATTCCAAGGGGCTGCCATTGCCTTAATTCACTTACTTATATCTCGTAAAGACAAAGCTCGAGCTCTTAGAGAAGCATTTTATAGACAAAATCTCCAAAATGTAACAAATTTGTTTGGAACCCTTTTGATCTTCTTCATAGCTGTCTATTTCCATGGATTTCGAGTAATTGTGCCCTTAAAATCAATGAATGTTAGGGGAAAAAAAGGGTTTTACCCAATCAAGCTGTTTTACACCACTAATATGCCCATCATTTTGCAATCCGCCTTTGTCACCAATGTTTACTTCTTCTCTCAGGTAAGTTATCTGACTTATATACTTGTTTTGGCAGAACTGGATTTTAATTAATAAGTAAATATTATTTGATTATATCTCATCCATCTATAGCTAGTTAATGTGTAGTCGTTGACAACCTCCCTCTCCACAAAATATGAAAAAAAAAAGGCGTGTTGATTTCCTGTTTTTCATACACAAAAAATACAGAAAGCAATCTTCTTCTCCTCTCTATTTTTCCTCACAAAAACAAAACCCTCGAGCAGTTTCATTTCTTTTTTGGTGTTTAGTTGCCCGGTGGTTTTGTGCAGTTCCACCGGTATAATTACAATAGAGGAAGGCTGTTTTATCCTGGGGAACATCCGGTTGTTGTACGAGCTGCTTGCACAAATTAAAGGGCAGTACCGTGAATGTTCTAAAGAGAGCGACATAGTCCGCGACTCAGTCTATTTCCCGGTAACTTTGTTCTGTTTTTATTGTTTACAGCAGTTCGGTTAATAACAAAAACTGTGAATTTATGAAACTTATTTGTACATTGAATTTATATTGAGTTTGTTTCTGTTGATGTAAAGCTTCTTTATAGAAAATTCGGTGGCAATTTCATAGTTAGCCTGCTTGGGAAATGGAAGCAATCAAGCAATCCAAGCTTTCTGGCGTGTCTGTTCCAGTTGGTGGTCTAGCATATTATATAACTGCTCCTCTAAGGTAATCTAAATTTTGCTCTGGGGTTAAAATGTAACAAGATATATGAGTATAATATGACTATAATATCATCTTATAGACAAATAAAGACTTCAAAGTAATATTTCAAAAAATTTATGCAAAAAACTATAACAAGACGATTTTTAAAGTATGCAAGTAATTATACTCCCTCCGTTACTTTTTACTCGCAACTTTTATCATTTTTAGCCGTTATACATTATTTGCAACATTTTTATTTCTTTCCTTTTATAGAAAGTTTTTTAGTGTGATTTTACAGATTTACCCTTACTTTTTTTTCTAAAACATCTTAATTAAACTATTAATTTTATCATATTAACTTAAGCCTTAACATTAATTAATTTAACTATTTCCACCAAAATACTTCTCTCTCCATCCAAATTCATCAGCGTCTTCATCTTTTCCTCAAAAAAAAAAAAAAAAAAAAAATCATCTTCATCCACCACCACCACCACCTACCACCGATCTCCACTCTCTATTCAACAATCAAAGAAATTTCTCTCTCTTTGTTCATCTCCCCTCAATTCGACCGCCACGGTTTGCTGACTCGCCGACAGTCAATGGCCGATGTCCCCTTGCTCCTAGCCGCCTCCGTCTTCTCTCTCTTTCATTTCTGTTTTTGTTTCGTCCTTGGTATTGAAGCTCAAATTTGAAGGTTTTATGGTCAAATTTAACCATGAGAACTCTAGATCTAGAGTTTTGAGGGTTAAATTTGACCAATTTTAAGCCTTACTTGATGATTGTGGGTTGCCATTTTCCTCAGGGGTGGGATTCTTGGGTTCTGGGTTCGCGTTCTGAGGGTTGGGTTTCTGGGTTCGCGTTCTGAGTTGTGGGTTTTGGATTCTGGGTTCGTGGGTTGTGGGTTTGGAGTTGTGGGTGGTGGTGAGTTGTGGTTTTGGGTTGTTCGATTTAATGGGTTGTTCGAATTTAATGGGTTGTTCGAATTTGGTGGGTGGTTCTAGGCCGAAATCGGGGGTGGTGCTGGGTAGAAATCGTGGTTGTGGGCGAAATCGAGGGTGGTGCTGGGTCGAATCGTGGCTCTGGGTGCTGCTAGGTGGTGGTGGTACGGTGCTAGGTGGTGGTGGTACGGTGCTAGGTGGTGGTGGTACGGTGCTAGGTGATGGTCTTGCTAGGTGGTGGTGCTGCTGGTAGATGGTTGTGTTTAATATTTTTTTTTTTTTTTTTTTTTTTCTGGGTTGAATTAGTACTAAACACATGCCCTTATTTTTTGTTAATTACCATTTACCATCTTTTGCCTAGGAGTCCGTTCCTGCCCTCAAAGTTGCGAGTAAAAAGTAACGGAGGGAGTATTACTACGTAGTTGATACGTTTTGACTTTAAGAGCTATTCACATTTGGTTTTATTTATAATTTACTTATTACTAAGGTTTGACATTAATCACAGCCAGTGGCGGATCCACGTTGATGCCTGGGGGGACACGTGCTACCCCCAAAAAAAAAAATTAAAAAACTAATTGTTTTTATGAAAAAAGCGCTTATTAAATTATATAAAGATTACAATCTGTATTTATGTTAACTATCTTTAGCATTGCTTCAGTGGTAGAGGGTTGTAAGGAGAGTCATATTTGTTTTCAAGGTATATTTGTTGGAATCGTCTCAACGAAAAATTTATTAATATTCAATTGTTATAATTTTTATTATTAAAGATATTTTCTATTAAAATTTACATTAGCATACGTGCACATGGGAAATTTATAACAAAGTTTTCTGTGAATATTCATATGCAACTTTGACTTACAAAATAAAATAATAAATAGGTGAACAATTTATCATAGTATAATCGATATCTAGAATTTAAATTGTTTGTAAGAAAATAAAAAAACTTGTCAAGATAAATGGTTGAATTTGATTGTTAATTATAATACGACTACATAACGCATTATATCCAAAATTAAACATAGTTTGTTTGGCTGATTATATTACGTTGCGTTACACCAATGTTATATTTTTTTAATTGTCCAGTGCTACCCTTAGTTAGGATTCTGGATCCGCCACTGATCACAGCATGCTTACTTTGTAAACATTGTGTCAACTAATACAAGTATAAACTAGAGGATGGGACTTCGTATGATTATACGGAGTATAGTAATATACGAAGTATATATCATTTTAGTCGGATTATAATCTTGTCATCTTCTTTGCAACCAATTAGTTATGGATATACTCCCAAGCAAAGCTTGGTGGAGTAGGTGGGGAATTCACCTTGTAAATTTGAGTTCACGAGTCCAAACTCCACCAACTACAAAATGCTTGGCAATAATACCTCCCCCTCTACTCTCAAGCGATTGACATGCGGAGGTGGGCTGATGATTGTGATTGAACATAATGTGTGATGCAAAAATTGTGTGCATGTAGTTGGCTGGTGTAGTAGAAGACCCATTCCATGGATTATTCTACACCGTATTGATGTTGTCAGCTTGTGCATTATTCTCTAAGATTTGGGCTCAAGGATCTGGATCTTCTGCCGAAAATGTTGCCCGCCATTTAAAGGTGCGCAATTCGCCTATATTATAATTGAACAACATTTTTATACTACTAATAGCACTTGTTTTTTATATATTACGGAGTGAATATTTAAAACATGTTGTTAG